TTATTTTTTTTATTATAGTAGGTTCAAAGGCAGGGGTGGGTTTCAAAAATTTTAAGCAATGGGTTCTCTGCCTGGTTGCTCGGTGAGCATGGCCATGGTGCTCGTGGCCTAGTTGGCCTCCTGCACCATGGGGGGAGGGGGCGTTTTTGCCCTCCCTGTGCTCCGGAAGCTCTCTGGAAGCCAGATAAGGGCCCATTTCTGGCCTTCCTGAACTTCTGGGAGGCCCATTTTTCACCCTCCCCGAGCCTCCGCGCACACCCTGCACTTACTTTACAGTCATGGGCATAGGTCATATTGTGTTTAATGAGGGTTTTCATCACTAAACAAGAACAAAAGTATTACTCAAATATTTACTCAAAGTAGCACATATTAATTATACAACACAATATAAACAAAATACACACCGCAAGATTAAAACCTCAGTTTAAGAAAATCAACATAATTCTACCATGACTATTTAATAAGATACTACTTAGCAATATTAAGACCAAAGATTTCAAACATAATTTGAATATAAATTTTATATTTAGGATGCTAAAGGACTTGTATTATGATTCTAATTTTGGTGGTTCACAGTTGGACACCAAGTTCTTTTACAAATTTGCAAAAATAGCTTGCCATATATTGTAACTTTATAGATCAGGATGTCACAAACAAAGTTTGAATCCAAAACACTAAAACATAAATTATTACCAAACTCCGAATATTTGAACTGAATACTCTTATTTCAAAAGCTGCAAGAGGTAGTATTTCAAACTTAAAAATAATATTAAATTTAGGAAGCTTGCCATAATTTAATGTGAAATATCAATCGTTTTAAACCAGTGAACTACATTATGTGTTTTCTCCACTCCCACAACCTTCATTCCAATACTCTGGAGGAGGCACCAAAATATACAGAATGTTTTGTTCTGTATCTTTGGGGTATGTGTCATTTTTGTTTCTGCAGAAAACTGATACAGAACACACACACACACACAGAGTCCAAAAAGATCTAAAAATGCAATGTTCCACAATATAATTTATCTTAAGCCAACCTGATATAATCTAAAAATTCTCTAAGTGTGGGCAGGGGAGAATATTTTAGTCAACAAAAGAATAAATAACATATGAAGCAATGACCTAAATACTAAATTAATTCCAGATTTTTGACCACAGATGTCTCTAAACAACTTTAAAAGTTGAATTAGAGATTAGTGTATTGTCTGAGATGCAAGATGTGCTGGAATTCTGTATTTTAATGACCATCCAGAAAATCCTCTAAAAGTCTGAACGATATAATGACCAAAATGCCTAAAAGATGGTTCCATTATATATATATATATATATATATATTTTAAAGTGTCATTTCACACTATGATAGGTTTATTATATAATATATTCTTTGGTGTGGATTAATGTCTCCCCACTGAGAAAAAGCACAGTAACTCTTACACTAGGTTTTGAACGCATGACAAACATTTGAGAAGCTTTCCCCAGCCTACTGAGCTCAGATGTTTTACAGTCATAAATATACTATTAGAAACTAGCATAATAGCTACGGAGTGCCTAAGAAGTCTGGATGTTGTCATTTAACATAACTTAGTGCACTTGGTTAAGAATTGGGGGATTAAGTCTCAGGAAAAGGCTATATTACAGTTCTGTTCAGTGTTGGTTTTTTTTACTATCAGTTTTCTACAGAAATAGAAAAATAAAAATACACAGGCACAAGAACAAATTTATATATACATATACATACACGCCAGAGATGGTATTCAGCAGGTTCTGACCAGTTCTGGAGAACTGGTAGTGGAAATTTTGAGTAGTTCGGAGAACCAGCAAATACCACCTCTGATGGGCCCTGCCCCCATTTATTCTCTGAGTCCCATCTGATTGGCTGGGTCTTCTTTTGTTGCCCTGCACAGGAGAATGGAGCTGGAAAGCAGGTTAATGGGGTGGGGAGGGAATGGAAATTTTACAGTATCCTTCCCCTGCCACGCCCACCAAGCCACAACATGCCCACCAAGCCATGCCCACAGAACTGGTAGTAAAAAAAATTTGAATCCCACCACTGATACACACACACACACACACACACACGTATTTTTTCTAGGAGTAAGAGAATAATGAACAATTAGAAGAAATGTTGAGACTTTATGAGAGCAGGTCTTCAGAAAAGTTTCTTTCCCACATCTTTAAAAAGTTTCAGAATACTAGCCACCTGGAAGGTGAGACAGAACCTTTGTTTCTTTCAGTGTTTAACTATCTATTCATGGAATCTTCACAGAAGCTCATCCTGTAACAGAAGCAGGACACATTGCCTACACCAAGACTCAAGGAGTGGAAAAAGATACATGACTACCAGGAAACAATAGAAAATACTATCCATTTATTATTTAGATTCACTAACTTCAAGACTTTTGGACATCAACTCCCAGAATTCCCAGCAAAGCTGACTGAGGAATTCTGGAAGTTGAAGTTCATAAGTCTTAAGTTGCCAAGGTTGGAGATGCCAGCACTAAATGATAGAAGGTGTGCTAATGTCTCCCTCTGTCCTACTCAGGAGGTCCCTTAAAGATTGGCCTTCTTGCAATTGCCTCTTTTAATATTCTTTCTTTTTTGCAGGGGGTGGGCTTCAAGTCAGTCTTGATTTCTGGCAAATGCCTAGGCAATATTTCTTGACAACTTTTATCAGACATGCTTTGCCATTCTTTCTATGGCTGACAGCGGGGCAGTGAGTGGGTCAAAGACACCTAGATGGGCCTAAAGCTGGACTAGTTTGGACTAGGAGGTCATTGTATGAAAGTGGAAGAAATGATTTCTATTATTAGCTAAATATTATTAACTAAATATCCTAAAACTCTTGAGAGAAGAAAGTAATTACATACAATAAACCAAACAAATAAACAAAAATCAATGATTTTTCATTCAATCAGGAACAATGATCTCCCATGATCACTTATTTTCATTACTACTCATATGACTTTTATGTATAATGTTGAAATGTTATCCCATGTAACATCCAGTTGTACAATTGTACATCCAGTTGGGAGGCCACTTCCATACCCCCATAGAAGTTTTATTTATAATTAAATGGGTTGTGTATATATCTTTACTTCTCTCTCTGTCGTGTTCTCATCATATACTAAATAATAATAAATAACCATGCAACATACAGTACATAAGGAAACAGCAATCATTTCAGAATAAGAAAATGTGGAGGAACAGATAACACATAGCTAATACTATGTCAGTATTCAGTTAGTATCTCTTCTCTGAAGTTTTTTATATAGTACAGATTTGGCAGGTGGGTTATGATGGTCATAGACAAATAAGTCTGCTTACATGGATCTATGGTTCTGAAATATATCAGCAATATTTGGATTCTATTAAAATCAGGCTGCCCACACTAAATAGATATGACTGATACGTATGTTTCCTTTTGTTCTCTTTCGTCAAATCATACAACTCCACTTTTCCACGATTCCTATTACTTTACATAGTTCTTAATATAGCTAAACTAAAATGTAGTTAAAATTAATCCAACCTATGTTGGTTTACAATCTTCTACTTTCCAGTTCTTCATTTCCCTCTCCCCCATCCTGCTGTTTGTCCTATGTACCGCCCCCCACACACATACACCATTGAAATTGAGACTGTAAACTCAATGGGGCCAGGACCTCTCCCCCTTTAAAGTGCCATGTACAATGATCTATAAATAACAACATCAGCACTATGAGAGGTGACAAAAATGTCTAAGTATTTCTATAGCTGAACATTCTCCTCGTCTGAAGCTTAAATGTCAGCAGCACTGAATATATGTTCCAATGATTTTTAATGTGCTATTTTAAAATATGTACTATTCCTGTTTTCCAGTGATACAATTTCAAAACGTAGCCCCTATGTCTGAAGGATACCTTCTCCCCATATTCTATATTGGTTTAAATTATATTAAGATATATGCAAATCCTTTGCAACTTTTGTTCCAATTAATTTCCACTGGTTTCAATTGTACTTATCCCCAAGTACATTTGTAAAAAGCTTCAGCTATAATCAAATAATCTTCTATGGGTTAAAATTAGTATTAGAAAACCAATTGCTTGAGGGTTTGAAAAGGGATAATACATCACAACCATTTAATCCTCTCACCAAAAATGTGAGATGGGCAGAAAAATCCCTAGATACTGGAAGTTTTTGATTACTTTCAGATTACTACAAAAAAATTCAAAGGTCTTTATTATTCAAGCTATTTAAATTAAGTTTCCCCATCCCAATAAGCCTTACCAGAATCACTTTAGTGCAGTGAAACTTAACACCAAGTTGCACATATCTTACATCATTTTAGAACTGGTTTTTTTTTGTTCACATCTTAAATGGTTTTCTCCTTTCCTATCGATTATATTGCCATATCCACAATAAAATCAAATATACAATACAATTATATTATTACAGAGGCAATAACAGATGAAGATTTGTTTTGTTTCCCATTCATTGACTGTCACATCTTGGAATTACCATCATCAAATTAGCCTGGATTTTAAAATCCTTCTTAATGGATCTAGGCTGGAATCTCAAAGCAGCTTCCAATAATTAATGTGTGTGGGGGCGGAGTTCTATTGGCCAAATCCCCATTTCTTTCCAAATTGTATTTTGTTCTCCCAAGAGGCCCAAGAGGAGATTTCTTTGAGAAATCATATTTCCCCCTAAAAACGAAACCAGAGAAAACTGATATCATTCTTCCCATTGATGCAAGTGGGAAGCCCAGCTTCCTCCAAGGGAAAACTTGGTCCCCTATTTGGACCACACTCTTGATGCTTCTTGGAGGAAGTGAGATTATACTACTCATCTTCACGGCAAAGAAAGATTCAGAGCCCAATAAGGGGGAAGAAGAGCAGAAGGAAAGAAGCAAAGTTGGGGAGAGGAACGCACAGCCAAAAAAAAAAAAAAAGTGTGTTGTTTTGTTTTGGGGTTGTTGTTGTTTTTTCCCAGAAGCCCCTGAGAGATGCACTATTCTTTTGTACCTCGTTGTTGCGGCGCTGCCTGTTGCTGCTGCGGGCGCTGCTGCGGCCATCGGGGCTGCCCAAATAAGGAACCACACCAGCTCAGGGCGACTGTGAGGAGCAAGAGGGGAAGCCCAGGCGCTCGCCTCATAGCGGCCAAACTTCGCGCGCTCTCTCGCTCCCGTGCGCGCTTTCGCGCTCCGCTTCGGAGCTCCCGGCAAGAAGTGTGGGAGGGAGGCAGACACCGCGCCTCTGAGGGAAAGAGGAGGCGGCGAAGCCCTGACTGTCACCCGGGATGGGACAGCGGAGGGACACGCCCCTGTCGCTTTCGCCGCCGCTCTCGGCTTCTTCCATGGGGGCTGAGGAGTCACAAGACAATGAACAATCGGCGAAGTCTTCCAAAGAGGGAGGCTTAGCACGAATTAACCGGGGGGGGGGGGGGGTGTGCTTTGGCGTGCAGTGGGGATCAAAAAACAACTGCTCGGTCTCGCCTACAAAAGCGAGGATGAGAAATTTTCCAAGCCACAACAAGCAGCAGAAGAGTCTTAAAAACTTGAACGCTCTTAAAGTCGATCTTTCTCTCTCTCCCTCCCTCCTCCCCCCTTCAACTTGGAAGAACAATTTTAATGAACTCAGAGGAAGAATGCTGCAGGCTCACGCTTTACATTGTATACATTTTTTTCTTAAAAAAACAAACAAACACTATTGCAAGCCAAACATTCTCAAGAACCAAAACGGGCCTGGCTAGAGACCCTTACAGGAACCAGGCGAACGGAAACATCGAAGCTGAGCAGAGGATCCGTCCATCCGTCCCTCTAGTGCCGGGTCAGCGAAAGCTCAAAAGTAGCCGGCATGGGCTTGTCACATCCACGAAAATAGGCACGGATTATACTGTAAATGTATATTTTAAAAAAACAGACTCAGCTTTTAAGCAAACGGGTCAGTAGAAACGCCAACTCTTGCATCTCAATACTAAAATAGGCCATTATGGTGAAGTTTCTCATATCTAGCTATTCTCCTTTTGTACATGAGAAGGCGCTTGACTCGTCCGGGCTTTTTTTTTTTTTTTTTTTTTTTTGCGTGTAACGGAGACAGCGTCACAAAGCTTCCCGATTTAGCTCAGCGCCTGAGATGGGATTTATATAAACCGGATCGAGACTTAATTCATATTAAACTCTTCATTTGGAGAACAGCTGAAAAAAACCCCAACTATTAAAACATACTGTGTTCAGCCTGAAAAGTGAGCGCTCGCCACGTAAACCCCCAATATGAGGGAGCATTGAAAGCCATTTTCAACAAAGTCGTCACACACTCACTCACCCCCAACTCAATAACTCTGCCCTATGATATTTCAAGTGAAGTGGGCAGGAATCGATACCTCCCTTTTCAGGCATGGGGAGGGGGAATAGAATAGAATAGAATAGAATAGAATAGGAATAGGAATAGGAATAGGAATAGAACTCTTTATTGGCCAAGTGTGATTGGACACTCAAGGAATTTGTCTTAATGTCTATGCTCTCAACATACATAAAAGAAAATATACATTCGTCAAGAGTCAAGAATCATAATCACTTAATAATAGTCATAGGGTACAATAAGCAATCAAATCATACTAGGAAACAGTCAATAAAAATCATTAGGATACAAGCAACAAAGTTATAGTCCTACAGTCATAAGTGGGAGGAGATGGGTGAAAGGAAGGATGGGAGGATTAATAATAATAATAGTGCAGACTTTGTAAATAGTCTGACAGTGTTGAGGAAATTATTTGTTTAGCAGAGTGATGGCATTCGGGGAAAAACTGTCCTTGTGTCTAATTGTTCTTGTGTGCAGTGCTCTATAGCATCATTTTGAGGGTAGGAGTTGAAACAGTTTATGTCCAGGACGTGAGGGGTCTGAAAATATTTTCACAGCCCTCTGTTTGACTTGTGCAGTATACAAGTCCTCAATGGACCTGTATACTGCATAAAAGTATAAATTAGAATTGGAGGGGAGCCATGATCGGCCGCAGTTCTGGAGAACTGGTAGCAGAAATTTTGAGTAGTTCGGAGAACCAGTAGCGGAAATTTTGTGTAGTTCAGAATACCGCCTCTGATTGGCCTTGCCCCCTTCTCTTCTCTGCCTCCCGAGTCCCAGCTGATCAGCTGGGTCTTCTTTTGTTGCCCTGCACAGGAGAACAGAGCTGGAAAACAGCTTAGTGGGGTGGAGAGAGAATGGGGATTTTACAGTATCCTTTACCCTGGAGTGGGGTCGGAATGGAGATTTTGCAGTATCCTTTCCCTGCCATGCCCGCCAAGCCAAGCCCACCAAGCCAAGCCAAGCCAAGCCACACCCACAGAACCAGTAGTAAAAATGTTGGAATCCTACCATTGCCCCACGTGGTCCATTTTAGATGCAGGTAAGTGCAGGGCACGCATGGAGGCTCAGGGAGGGTGAAAAATGGGCTTCCCAGAAGTTCAGGAAGGCCAGAAATGGGCCTGTTTCTAGCTTCCAGAGAGCCTCTGGAGCCCAGGAAGGCTGTTTTTGCCTTCCCGGAGGCTTAAGGAAAGCCACTGGAGGCCAGGGAGGGAAAAACCACCTCCCACCATGGTGCCGGAGGCCGACAAGGCCATACCCACCATGGCCATGCCCACTCAACAACTGGGCAGAGAACCTTTGCTAAAAATTTTGAAGTCCACCCCTGACCATATCTATAGGACCACCTTGTCTGATGAGACTCAGCTTAGCCTGTTAGATCATACATGGAGGGGCTTCTTGTTATCCTGCATTTCTGGGATGTGTACCAAGGCTAGAAAGCCTTGTCTGTCCTTAGCAGGGCCAATGCTATGGAATGAACTCACCACTGAGATTAGATGGCCTCCTCCCTGGTTGTTTATGGGAATATTTTTTTTTTCCCAAAGACCTTTTCAGTAACATCACCTGCCCTGCTTGTTCTTATTTATTTTTCTCTTCCAATTCAATTTTGTTTTTATTCTTTGGATTGAATGCTGTTTTAATTTTGTTGTTGTTATTGTGACATTATAATTGCCTAGAGTAATGAAATAAATGAGCGGTTTAATTTGTTTTTGTAGTATAGTAGAACAAGAATCTCACAGTCCTCCAAGCATATTTTAGAGATGAAAACATTATTTGTAAATTCTTAGAATGCTAACAGCACAACTATAGGAAGTGGTCCGAGAAGGGAAACAGTACCTCAGCTCAACTTAGCAAGTCTCCAAGCAACAGCAGTGTTTTGTAGTCAGGTCATTCAATTGGCACCTTGAGACTTGTCACACTTAACAGCGTCACCTTCCAGGAACTCCAGTCAACTTGTGCCTTCTGTGGTAGTCACTGCCCAGGGAGACGCAGCAGGCGTATTGCCTAGTGAAAGTGGCCTGATATGACACTATTTGAAACAGAGAAAGAGAAATAGGTTGAGCAGTAAAAGGGCCAGGTCTGGCTGCCCCAAGGTGAGGATTTCTTAAAGGGCAAGTAACTATAGGAATGGGAAAATCATAAAACAAGCAAGTTAGAAAGAGCCGTGGTGGTGCAGTGGTTAGAATGCAGTTCTGCAGGCTACTTCTGCTGATTGCCAGCTGCCTGCAGTTCAGCACTTTGGGTCTCACTGGCTCAAGGTTGACTAAGCCTCCCATCCTTCTGAGGTCCCTAAAATGAGGAGCCAGATTGTTGGGGGGCAATATGCTGAACGTGTAAACGGCTTAGAGAGGGCTGTAAAGTGATGTAAAGTCTATGTGCTATTGCTATTGCTGTCATCCTGGATATTATTCAGAAGAAAACTGCATATCAATTCAATAATAAAATCAAATATTGGTGTTCAGGTTGATTAAAAAAAACATTGCCAGATACTGACAAGAATGGCATGACTCTGTTTCTCAGCTTGATTTCACAAGTTGTTCTGATGTTCAGGGAAGGGTTTTGTTTTGCTTTATATTCTTTAATAAATGTATGTGTGAAGAGCCAATGCCCTTCGTTATTTGATTCAGGGATGCTTTTGTGCTAACGTAAGGAAAGACTGGTGTTGTGTGAATTAGACTAATTCACTGGTGTTGTGTGAATTAGTCAGGCAACATTCAGTTTGAGTTTGAGATCATGATGCAATTCAAAACTATAATCTACTTTCATAGAAGAAATATATTGTTATTAAAGTTAATTGTGGAAGTAACTTTAAATTGCTACAAGGAGCTTTAAAAATGGATTACATGCTTCCAAGTCAAAAAGAATTCATTAGAAATGAAAATACTGCAAAAGAAAGACAAAAGAAGATTTTGACAATGGAACTGAAATAACAAAGAAGTTGAATTTCAGGGCTACAAGAGAGGAAATGTGGTAGAAGAAATGTAAGGTGGGGAGACAAGATAAGAAATCATATTGAGATAAAAAGTCTTAAAATGGGGTTACCATAAATTATATGTTTGAAAGTCGCAACACTGACTAGGATAAGAGAAATATAATAAAAACAACATGGATGACAGAAATATTTTACATAAAAAAACTTCCCATTGACTGTGGCATGTGTAATATGCAGACTAAATCTTACTGCTGTAAAAATCTGTTCAAATAAATACAAATAATTGATATGGAGACATATGTTCTTGGTCTAGATTTAATAGCAAATCTTGATGTGATGGAGTGTGCACCTGGAGAAGCAGTGTTGGGGGTAAGTTTTGGCAACACAGTGTTTTCCCACAGATAGACCCAGATTAAGAGACTGTGCAGTCTCCAGCTGGAAGGGGGATGGGGGAAGAGATTCAGGGTAGCCACACTCTAGAATCTCTCAAAATGTATCTAGCAGGTTAGAAGGCTGTAGCTTTAGTTTGGCAAATTCTGTCCATTAGGTTTAAGCAAATAAAGGATTGGACTAACTGGGATCTTGCTATGTCATCTTTAGTTTTTGACCTGATGTAAATCTTGCCAAACTAATGTTATAACTCTCTTTCCTAGTAAATATATCCGGAAATATTCTATGGTATGGCTACCCTGAACCTCTTCCACCTTCTCCTATCCATTTTGGGACTGTGCAGTCTCTTAATCTGCCTCCCTCTCTTTTTTTGGAAAAGCTCTGCGTTGTCAAAATTCCTTTTCTGCACACACATATATACAGTTTTTCTAGGTGCACATTCCATCACACTTATGCAAAATGAATAATGTATTCATTATTCATTTTGCATCAAATACAAAAGTGTTTATGAATTATAGAAATGAATGG